TCTCTCTGTGTGTGTGTGTGTGTGTGTGTGTGTGTGTGTGTGTGTGTGTGTGTGTGTGTGTGTGTGTTTATCAATCAAGCATATACAAACTATGGACATGCCCTAATTCGCAGCCCTAAGGCTGCGGTATAGTGGATTTACGCATCTTTGTCAAGGTGTCGCATTTTTGGCGGCTTGCAACCAGGACGCAAAGTGGGTTCTGAAGGGGGCAAAAAATTTTGGGAGACCGGTCGGACCCCAAAAAGAAGTCGGGGGCATTGGACTGGTCCTCGGGTAGAAGTGGACCCCAAAAAAGAAGTGAGGGCATGTGAACTGCAAAAGGGCCCTCAGGCCGAGGCGTTGAGGCCCGTCTTCTCAAAACAGGGACAAGGTCATGTTCTTTTCATGAATAATATTAGAGCATTTTCAAAAAATCATTTAGACTGCGAAATAATCGTCGTGCCAATTCGACACATTTTTCATTTTTGCCACTCAGCCATGTGTTTCGTGCTCGGAAGAATGCGTGAAAAAACCTGAAAATTGGAGTACTCGTAGATTTTGTTGTGATCTTTCCAAGAAAAACGCTCAATAAAATTAAAAAAATCATTCTAACTGTGAAATATACCGCGGTCGCTATTTGACCCATATTTCAATTTTGCCATTCAGCATCTCTCTCTCTCTCACACTTTTTGTCTCTTTCTCACACTTATAATAATAAATGGAACAAAATTCTCTCTCTCTCTCTCTCTCTCTCTCTCTCTCTCTCTCTCTCTCTCTCTCTCTCTCTCTCTCTCTCTTTTGTGTGCGCTCTTAGTCTCATTGCTTTGGCTACCTTAGGGTTGCGTCCCCACGCCTACACGGTAGACAATCAATTTAATTCTCGCTCTGAAAGTGAAGGGAGGCTATAGGGCGCCCAGGCAAACCAGACAAATTTTCGAGTCACCGCCCAGCCGTGAATCGAATTTCTTTGAAAAGGGCGCCGACGCCCTCCCTGAGGTAGTTTCTTCCCCCCCCCCCCAAGACTACAGTTGTCATGGGCCAAGAACGGGGGCCTCGCCTCACATGCCATCGAATAGTTTAGTATACTAGACTGTGTGATTGTGTGGGACAGCTAGGAAGTCTTGATTCTATTTTATACGGACGGTGGGATGATGCATCCCGCCATCTAGGGCAGGGAGCCGTAAGACTTTGTTTTGTCATTGGCTTATAGTTGCTCTAGGGGTCCCGTGCGGAATGGAGGGAGAGGCAATACGGTGTAGTTTACTGACTTTTTTTTATGGCTCCGAATACTATTCGTCTTTGGACTGCTCGCCTGCAGCAAGTCTGATGGGGACTCTAAGGGTGTTTATGGCCCTCGCTCCGTTGGTCTATGGACATGCACAAAAGACACATATCATGGCGGTGTATCTTTTCTTTTTCTAGCAGAAGATTCAGTGTTTTTTTACACATGCCTAGAATAGTCGAGGGATGCCCTTGTCAGTCCGTACACCCAAGAATAACAATTTTATCCTTAACACTCTTTATGCGAATAACGGGTCTCGCGTAACGCTCCCGCGAGCTCCCGCTGTCCGCTGTTGGGAAACGCGGTGGGATCGGTAGGCGGGCCTGACAGACACGGCATGAGGCCTTTGGGGCGGGCCGGACCGGCGAGGCCCGGGTTGGACGGCACGATAGACCTTCGGGGATCTGCGGCAGATGGTTTCCGAAACTTCTATCGGGCCGTCCAGTCCGGGGCCGCTCGACAATCTTAACGGTTGTCGCCGGTCAATCATGTGCTGCTTCGTGCAGTGATGTTTCGATGCGACGGTTTCGAGTGCTTTGTGGTCGTGCGTGGACATTGCGTTGTCGGTGCGAATACCCTTACAAGGGTATCCGCCCTGGTTTTTGCAAGTAACAGAAAACAGATTTTGGTCTAGAGTTTTAAGGATACCGCGCTAAGCACGACCGTGTCTGTAATTTCGTTGATTAGGTGGTTGACCACAATAGTGAGTGCGTGGGCGTGCAGGCTTAAGGCGCGCGTGAATTTTTTTTCTGTTGTTGATCATAAAGCCGGCCCGGACCTCGGTCGTTTAGCTTGGTGATATTATTTATTATTTATTTTTGATTAAGCAGGAATAAGGATATTTTCTTTTGGTACAGTTGACCAAGTCAACCCCAACAACGGCATCGGAAATAACGCCGCGATTTCGTATGGTGAGCCGGATGTCGTAGAATGGCGCGCGGGGTAATTATGGCATAATATAAGCTAGCCGGCGCGGGCAGTGGGAGCCTCGCAGCCGTTTTGTTGGCCCAAAAAGCGTCGCGCCGCACCGTTTTGTATGGTATTTTGCGGACGTGGGTCTCAGACTTGGGCTCAGCCCTATAGGTTACGACATTGGACTGACACTACGAAGGCTCGGGGGTCGAGGTCGGCGGGTGTCGGCGCAACAACTGCAGCGGAGCGTACGGAGAAAACCGAGGGGTTGAGGGACGACGGACTATCCCCCTCTGGTTTTTGTTGACAGACGTAGCGGCAGGGCCGATCCACGGGACCGGTGGGGCTTTAGCTGTCCCCGCACCGTGCATAGGGGCCCTTATTTATGATATTTTATGTCTTTTATTTTTGGTTTTTATGTATTTGTTTTTCCCTTATTGTTATGCGCGGCCCCGTTTTGGCCCAGAGCGCGGTACCGTGGTCGTAGCAGGCACCCAAGAGTCTTTAGCTCAGTGGGTACACCCACGAACTGTTGAAATACAGACCTAGTTCAAACTTGGATGATCGGGAGCTTGGCTGTGGGCGCGATGGGCGCAGCGGCCCGAGTATGCGCGGTAAGCCGGGGGCATTTACGGCAGGGGKGGYTGTAGTACTACCATGCAGTCCACCCGTAGGGGCCTACGCATAGGGGCGAAAGACTAAACGAACCGTMTAGTAGCTGGCTCATTCCGAAGTTTCCCTTAGGCCGGCAAGCGCGGAGGGGCAACGCTCTACGGCGGGGTGCTACCGCGGTCGGGTCCTTCGGGACATCCGTTAGAATTATAATGATACACAGGAGATTAGCGCGGCCCATGTAAACAGGGAATAAATACAAGATCGAGGGGCGGGGCCGCAACTGAGTGGGTTCGGAACGTTGGGTGTCGTCGGACTGCGTGGCGTGAGGGCCGGGGGCGGTGATTGCGAAAGGGAGAGATGCGCTGGCCAGGGGAGACGAGCCGGGAGACCGAGGAAGCAGGGCGCAGCGGCAGGAACGCAGTGCAGGAGGCAGAAAAAAGGGATCCGGGGGTGTTACCGGGCCAGATCCATCCGGGGAAAGCATTGCAGCAGGTAGCGGGGACGGCTGAGACAGGCGGAAGCGCTAAGTAGGAGGAGTGACGGGCAGCGGGCGGCGCTGCATAGTAGCGAGCGGAAGAACGAGGCACAGTGGGAAATAAGGGAGAGATTTCGCGCCAGGTCCATTCGGAGTAAGGAAGAAGGAAGATTCGGCTATTGGAAGCAAGGAAACAAAGAACTCGCTCGATTCTTAATGAAATCGAGCGAGGGAGGAGCCGG